AGGAAAAACTGGGGTGATGGTTCTTTGCTCAGCCATGTTTTTCCCTTTGAAATACTTAAGGCAAAAGAGCAGAGAGCTTTTTTTTCCCCAGTGGCAGCTGAGGGAGGTTGGGTTATATTCATAGTACAAGTCCGTATCGATGTACATAAACACACAAAACATTAGTGTTAGCACAGGGAAATAGAAATAAAGCAGATATAAATGGCATTAACAAAACAGATTTCAATGAAGATGAATCACTGATGAAAATAAAGACCTGAAAATTAAAGTAATGTTAAATAATAATGAAATTATGTATTTTTAACTGTTTCACTGAGGCAGGGAGCTCAAAACCCATCATGTTCTCCTTCTCTGTTGTGTAAGACATCACACATTTATCTTCTGCAAATTTCACCAACTTAAGTATAGCAACAAAATAAAACCACACATTTTTTATATCTGAAATAACTTGGCTAAATATCTCTACAAATTAATTTAGCACTAACACTTCATCTCAATCTATTTGGCCTGAAAGAAACTGAGAGCTATGCTCGAAACGGTTCAGCATTTCAGGAATAAACATCAACTGAAATTTCACTCTTAAATGAAGCTAAGAGCACTAAAATGAACTGGATTGTTTTAAAACTCTATGTATTCATAAATACAAATAGAAGTAACTATTTGAGGTAATGGGTAAAAGAATTAATGTGAATTTTGACTATGAAAAGATAATTTCATAGTGAAAATCCTACTTCAAATCATCTGAATAAATGCCAAAGATTTCAAATACATTCTTTGTTTTGATAATTGCTTCTATTTTCTTACACACATACACTTTAGTCTAAAAAAAAAAAAATGCTTGACATTAAGCTGTTTTCTAAAGAAAAACCTCATGCAAACATTTCTAATTTCATAGCAAAATATTTTGTTATCCATTAGGTATTTTTTATTTCAGGTAGAAGGAAAACTGCCCGAGAAGCATTCCTGGAATGACCGATTTCAATGTTATAAATCCCTGGATTTTTCATCTCCCTTTGAACGAAATGCCAAAGGGGATTAAAGACTAAAGAACAAATCACAAATTTACATTATTAAAATTACTGTAATCAAGAGTGTTTTCTAGCCTTAATCAGGATTAGCGAAAACAAAAACCCCAACTTTTCTCCTGTGCAACACTAATCAGAATTCTATCAAATGCAAGATAACAAAGTAAAAGTGGTTTTGACAATTCAAAATATGGGTGGTATATCCTAGTATTCTTTAAATGTGGTTTCACTTGTTTGAGACCAGAGCAGTGATTTCTCTGCCGACAATTCACACGGCAGACAACGAGCACAGATATAAATAAATGTCCGTAACACTGCAAAGTCCAACCTCTAGCTTTAAGGAAATACACTTGTTTGAACACATGCTGTAGGAACAGGAGGGGATATGTGCAATGTCGAATGCTTGGGTTTGTTCTCCTAAATAGTAAGCTAAATAATCCGAGTTGTGGAAAACAACTAGAAACCTGCCACTGGTGAGAACACAGCCTTGTGGGACACACAGGATGGCTCCCTTGCTGCTGACCTGCTGGCAATAAGCAGGTTTGGTCTCAAGAACCTTGAGAGCTTTTAAGTGAGGTCTTTATCCATCATGCCCTATGCTTACAGTTATCTTACAAGGCTAATACAGTAAAGGGATAAAGCTTGTACAGATTTTTCTGGTCCTCTGGAGCCTCTTAAAGGCAGCATTATGTTGGTTTCAGAAACCACCACTGTGCCCTGAAGCATCAGGCCCCATCTTGCTGCCACTAATAGCGCCAGAAATGCTGCCAATTAGTAAATCGGCCGCAGGATCAGATCCTACGTACATTTTACCCTTGTAAAATGCCAACTATGATTTTAAAATGGAAATTATGGATATATGCAAAGAACAACTTCAAAAAATTATCTGAGAACATTGACCAGTTTCTAAAGGCTCAGAAACAAGCTCAGCATGCAGCAATAGTCAGATACAGCGGCAGCACGTCAGAGTACCGGTTAAAGAACAAGGAAAACCACATGGCTCTTGGCTTCTTTTGAAGAACTCCAACTGATCTAAGGTTTTGCTGGTGTCTGAAGTAGACAGTCACCTTCCTGGCCCTCCATCTTCAAACCTGTTGCTTCTCTCTATTTGGTTAAACAAGATTTTACCTTGCAAGCTCAAGGCTGCTCATGTTAAATCTTGACTGACACAGTGCAAACTGACAACAGTTTCCAGCTCCCGATTAGTAAGGTTATATATACTGGTTAGTAAAACCTTACTTTTGGTTAGTGAGTAGAATTATGCAGCTTAAAAATTACTAATATACAGTGGAGCATTTTCTCTTTGCATCTCCTCCTTATAACACCTCATGCTGATCGTTCTTGCAGTTCAAAGAAAAACTAAGTGAGGTTAGAAAACAATATATTATCTTTAATTGAAGTTGGCATTATGCTTTCTTCAGAGTATGAACATACCAGGATAAAGAGTACGTTAGAACACATGATCTGTATTTCAATTCCATCTGAGCACATACCATAAATCCTTCTTGGAAAAAGAAAAAAAGCAGGCATCATAACAAGAACACTTAAGCAGAAATAAAAAGACCTTCAGCATTTTGAAGTCTTCCCTTTATATTCTCTGAAACATCAGCAGGAAGCAGACACTTAAAACCTTACATGGTACACAAAGTAAGCTGTTTTTCATATGCCAGAGAAGGGGAAAAGCCAATAACGAGTTACAGGATCTCATCCTCAGGATAACCATGCACATCTGCAAGGTTAGAAACCGTGCTTCACACACACAATAATCAGGTGCTGGTTCATACCCTCCCAACAAAATCATCTTTCCAGCAGTATTAGGCATTCCCTTGGCAGTAGTTTTACCAGCAGCTCAGCACAAAGCATAAATCACATCGACACAGATTCTCCCTGTCAAAGGGAAATGCAACGGGCTCAGCATGGGATTCAACTGAGTGAGAAGAGTTAACATCCCGCAGGTCTGTGGTGGGTAGAAGCAACTCATAGCTCCGAACTTTCAGATTAACTGAGAAGTCAGGCAAGTTTTATTTTGATATTAACATGTTCATCACAGCAAAGGTTACGATTGGATTTGTTGCTTTTGAATTAACTCCCCTGTACTTTAAGGTCGACTTTAACCATGATTTACAAGTTTCTCTAGCATTGCTTTGCTACATTCTACATTTCTTTTTTAACACCTAGCCTTTTAATGATACTTAGACACTCAAGCTTGCTATTTTTCCTATCAAAGTTCTCTTTAATGCAGGTTTTATCTCCTACATTTGAAATTCCTTGTTCAGCCTCCTGAGATTTTTTAATTTAAAGTGGGCTCTCACATACTCCAAGGACTCTCCAACGGCGTATTTTTAGGATTCTAGGTAGATACAGTAATATGAGGAAGCTTTTTACTCATGTAAATTATAGGGGAAAAATTAAACCCTCATGATACTAAAAACCATTGTTCCAGAAATAGCTTGTCTCTAAGGCTGTGAAGACTTTTTTTAGGCTCTAAAATCAGCAAGCCACATTTGTTGCCATACTGTTTTGAGAAAGAAGCAATTCTAAATTCCATTATTACTAGTGCAAGTCTTTACCCAAACTCAACTCCTATTTAATATTAAGCTGTTAAATACTTTATTCTCCAACTATTTCAGTTTTGGTGAGAAATGAACAATTAAACTAATCTTCACTTAACTCTTCCCAAGTGCTCAATCTTCTATAATTTTAACCAGAAGTAATACATATTTACCGAAACCTCACCATTCTCTGCTAAACTGACCTTTTTTTTTTCCTCCCAAATATTATGTAGCAGCAACTCAGTCAGCAAATGACCTCTGCTGATTTGCAGTTTCCAGCCATTTCTGCTTCAGCAGTGGTTTTGGTCGGCTTCTGCTTCCTCAGATGCCTTTGAAAGAGTATTTTCAAGATTTGCTTTTATGGAATAAATGAAAAGCACTACAAATAAACTGTTTGTAAAACTATGCTGTAAAAAATGAAATTAAGATATAAAACTGGAAACATGCAGGAACCAGTTTTAAGCATCTGTCTTTATGAACGAGGCTTGATCACGCACTTGGTTTTCCAAACAAAAAATCTTTTGGAAATGTATTAATTAAAATTAAGTGCCACGGACAAGCAGCTTTAGAGGGATGGCAGTCCTTTTCACATTAGCATAACACTAGCGACAGGCATGGAAATTGGTTTAATAACCCTAAATAGTTACACCCTGCTCCTAACACAAATGGCCACGGACAGCTCCAGCCCCTCAGGCTGCGACTGTACCAGTTTATGCGGTTGCTCTGACATTGGGTGGGTATTCCAATCTGAACAGAAATCACTGGATGCACCTTAATTATTACTATTATTATATAGTGATTAGTGAAGCATACAAGGCACCAAAGCGTTAGACATCATAAACCAGAAAATCAAATTAAACCAGCACAAGCAACATCCGTAACTTCGCCAGCGAGGGATTCACTGTGTAACTTGTACTAACACAGTCAATACTTGGCTAGACATTAGTTTAGTCGTGATACTAAGTGGCCCGAACCCCACACACAAGTCTAGGGTCACGCTGTGGGAATAACAGAAAACAAGCTAAAGAGATAAGCACAGTCTTTAAGCAATTTCCTCCCCAGCCACGACTTACATGGGTGTCCACAGAGCTAAGATTGATGCTATAATACCCCCTTTCAAACACCACTTTCAGGGCACAGCGTTCTCCCACAAGCATCAAAATACAGAAGCTGAATCTCTTTCTACTTAGCTCTGTCAGGCATAAACAACATTTACGTGCTCACGATTCATGCGAAACTGGAGAAAAAACAAATCCTTGCCGATGAGGAGCTGAATGTTCACAAGCTTTTTCCAAGTACTCCCATCATTCACCTAACTTCACCACGCTGCTCCTCTGCAAAGGACTGCCTCCACTTTACCTTCCTTCAGCAGAGGTTTTGCTTTGACTGCCAGCTGGCTTTAGAGACATGTAGGACAGAGAAAGTGGTTATTCATGTCTTTTATTTATTATAAATACATATAAATACGTTAAGTGACCTTTTGCTTTTGTTTATCATGATGAGCAATGACTTTGGAAAATCACCTGGAAAACTTCACCAAGATGAGAAACAGGCAAAGAGCAAGCAGTAGATACAATCACAGGTTCCTCTCAGTTCAAAAACAGGCTGGTTTTTTCTTTTTAAGAGAAAAAAGAAAAAAGAAGAAAAAAGCATCTTATTTTGAAGCATGTACAGTTTTACCAAGAGCACCAAACTTTCCCCCCCCCTCCCAAAAGCTGACCAAATGACATTTCCATTTGGCTTTCTGGGTGCAGTCCAAGCCGAGCTGGCTACATCCCCCCACCCCCATGATTCTGAACCGTTGCATAGTTTTGCAGCTGGATTTTGCTTCCCTCCCTCCTTTTAAGCTATGTTTTAAACACAAGCTGATCAAGACCAAAGAGAACTCGCTGGGGTTTCCATTTCCAGATCAATCTCTCTCCCTGTTTTCCTATAGTTTAGTTTAAAAACTGCTCAAAAACTTTGCAGATCAGAGCAAGCAGAAAAGCAACATCACGCTCACAGTCCACTAACAGGCTGGGAAGGAAATAACTCTACAGATGGGAGTTGCATGTGTGGAAGGGGAGCTAAAAGTTGTAAGCGGGTGCTTTTGGGGTCCACATAAACTGCCAGACATCTCCAGATGGGGCGTGGGGACAGGGGTGTTTTAAGAGAAGCGAACAGAAAGAAAACCCAGACTTAACTGATGGTGGGAAGCCGGGGCTGATGGCGGTGGAAAGAAAAGCGCACAGAAAAAAAAAAAACCCAAAAAATAAAGATAAATAAAATAACCCCCCGAAAGCCCGCAGAAGGCAGAAGTCAAGGCTTGTCGTTACAGTGTTTGCAGAGGGAGGCGGCTCCTGTGAAGGCAGTGCATTTCTCGGGGCAGCCGGGCAAGGCCGCTCCGCCGAAGGGGTACACGGCCGACTGTGCGAAGGGGTTGAGGGTGGCGGGCAGCGGGGCGCTCAGCGCCTGGCCCTGGTTCAGGTAGGCCACCAGCCGCCGCATCTCCTCCAGGGCCTGCGCCTGCATGAGGATGTAGTTCTTGGCCAGGAGCAGGGTGGCGATTTTGGAGAGTTTCCGCACCGAGGGGCTGTGGGCATAAGGGATGACGGAGCGCAGCCCATCCAGCGCGTCGTTCAGGTCGTGCATCCTCCGCCGCTCCCGCGCGTTGATGCTGAGGCGCAGCGAGCGCTGCTCTTTCGGCTTCTTACCCAGGGCTCCCCCTTTCAGCTTGCCCTCTCGCTCGAAGCCCGCGCCGCCCTTCACCCCGGCCTCGAAGCCGTCCTCCTCGTCGCCGCTCTGCTCGCCGCTGCTCTCCGCCGACTTGCCCAGCGCTCCGGGATGGAAGTCCGCTCCGCCGCCCCCCGGGTAGGCTCCCCGCGGGCCCTCCGTGCCGCCGCGCACAGCCCCATAGGCGAAGGCGGACGGGCCGTACCCCGGCGGCAGCGCCAGGTACGCTTCTCCGCCCAACGACTTGAGCTCGGCCATGGCCTGGCGGGGAGCGGAGCCGCGGCCGCTGAGGAGGACGAGGCGGCCCCGCCGAGCCGCGCTGCGCCCGGGCTGGGGGCGGGCAGTGAGGGCCGCGCCGGCCCCGCCGCTCCTTATGTGGTGAAGAGCGGCCCGCTGAGGTTCCCCCGCTGGCCAATCAGAGAGGCCGCAGCGGCGAGTGGGCGGGGCGGCGGGCAGCGCCTGAGGCGGCGGAGGGAAGAGAGGGGAGAGCGGGACCGCTCGGACCGTGCCCGCCTTGGGAGCGGCCGCCCCTCACCGCGGCTCCACGCCTTATGGATGGGCCCGTTCCCCTCAGTGGGCACTGGAGGGGAGGGGAGACGCAGCCTGAGGAGCGGCAGGACAAAGCAGCGGTGAAAAGCGAGCGGGAACGGGAGCGATAACTTGCGCGGGTAGAAGTTGTGTTTGCTGGCTGGGATGAGGTGGCAGAGGAGGAACCGGCAACAAGAACAGTGCAGCACGGGGGGTATTACCCGACTGGAGCTGGGGGAGACCAAGGTGCACCAGGCCGGGTCAGTGTGGGCATGGCTGGTCAGGTCATACTGGTTTGGGTGGGGGTGACTTGTTGTGCCAAGAGATTTCCGAGGCAAATGTCCCATCTGTTTCCGTTCCCTTCAGACTTTGCTTTCTGTGTGCCAGAAAATGAAATGTGGACCTTGGTGAGCCAGTCCAGCTCTGAAGGGATTCTGTCCATCCCAGCTGTGGGTACCAGTGAGTGCTGAGCCTAGGAAGGAAACACATCACTCCACACCATGGCTTGCAGTGCATGTGTGAAGTCACCGCAGTGGAGAATCCTTGCCATGACTGGTGAAGTGTCTGCCCCACAGAGAAAGCTCAAGGAGAATCCAAGGCAGCCACTGGCAAAGGTGAGAGCTGCATAGAGAAGGATAATCAGGATGCTTTGTCCTGGATTCCTGCACTGAGATGACAGAAAGGGCCTAATCTTTAATCGCAAGAGAAAGAAGTCCCAGTCTCTTTATTTTCTAGGCTTCTGAGACTACTGGGTTTGGTATAAAATAGTATAAGGGCATATCAGTCTTTCTCCAAGCGTGTGCCTGGTCCCAGCCCCTCGAGTGTCTGCTTTGAAAGGATGGGATGAATCCTGTGTAGTGACATCTAGATGTGAGCAGATGGATGTTGCCCATAGGCGGAGGCAACTAGTTGATGCAGATGTACCTGGTAGCTTATTTGTGGCAGTAAAAAGCTTTGTGTCACCTTCTAGTGAAGGTGACACAGAGCTTTTTCCAAAATGAGTTTAGTTTTTAGCAGGCCCTCTACAAGGCGTAGTGAGGTTGTCCTCTTCCCATCACCTCCTTCACCCAGTGCACTAACGTGAAATGACGAGCTTGTCTCTCTTCCTTCTCCACATCAGTGCCAAGAGTGTAGAGATCTACACTGACACATTCACCCTCGCCCGTGGTTGCAGAGCTGCTGCCTGGAATGAGGCTGTTCCCCTGTGTTATGTGTGTGCATCTGGAAGGATGCAGCTTCCAGATTCAGCTGGAAACTGCTCTCATCCTTCCAGGAAAAAGAAGTGAATGTGTTACTGCAGGAAGAGCTCAAATACAGTTTATTTTAGCTTTGATGTAAAGAAAGGGAGAAAAGGATTCACATAATGATCTATTTCCTTCAATTTCAGTTCTAGTCTTAAAGCCATGCATTTGGATCAAACAATGCGTGTTTGCAATGTCAGTTGTTCAGACAGGAATTCATTCAGCCTTCCCTCATGCTGCAGTGGAGACTGAGATGAGCTCTTAGGCAGAAGCTCTTCCCTGTGAGGGTGCTGAGGCACTGGCACAGGGTGCCCAGAGAAGCTGTGGCTGCCCCATCCCTGGCAGTGTTCAAAGGCAGGTTGGACACAGGGGCTTGGAGCAAGCTGCTCTAGTGGAAGGTGTCCCTGCTCATAGGAGGGGTCGGAGCTGGATGAACTTTAAGGTCCCTTCCAACCCAAACCAGGCTGTGATTCTATGATGTACATAAAAGACTCCAGGGTTTGTAGTGGGCTAATTATTGGTGTGTATCAGAAAATCAGTGGCAAAGACTGCCACACTCCGTTGTTTTGCTGCATAACAGCAAACAACCGAGGGAGCAATCCACAAATGGATTTTTTTCCATCAGAGGAGGGGGCCGCATGGGGAGTGCATCTCCATCCCCGCCAGCAGGGTTTAGATCTTCAGGGTGGAGCCGAACCAAACCTTACGGAAAGAGGAGCAGGAAGGAGGTTTAGGAGAGCCCAACGTGCTCTGGTTTGACAGGTTTGGCCGGGCCGGTGGCGTTGCGGCGGTCGCATGCTGACACCTAGCGACCACCTCCCTCGGAGCCCCCGCGTTCAGGAGGCACCCACCGCCCCTCCTCGGTATCGCGACAGAGGCAGGCAAACCGCTGGTGCATCACGAACAGAGTAAGACCAGAGGGAGCTTACGGGCTGCTTTTTGGATACCTGACCTCAAACTATAAGCCTTGGTGTTCGCTGTCACTGCAGCAAGCCCGGCTTTGTCACTGCAGCAAGCAAGTCTTTGAGCCTTTTACCTAGATAAAGGAGAGTGGAAAGTAAAGAGGAGTTTGAGCATCAAAATGTGTGAATGGATCATCGGCTGCTGAGTAAAAACAGTGGTCGGAGAGTGGGGTTATTCTATTGAAAGCTCAGCTGGAACTGCTGGAAACAGGGGGTGAATACTTCCTCCCTTGAGTGTGATGGTAGAAGATCAGCAGGTACAACCAGGTAGAAGAAGCACAAGCTATGGTAATGCTGGCTCTGGCTCTTTGGGAATGGTGGGTAGGTAAAGGACAGAAACCCAAGGCAGGGAAAAGCAGGCAGAGCTCAGTCTGGCAGGTGTCTGGCCAAATATAAATAGGTCTGGGATAGCCAGAGGGTCATGGCTGTTGCCTGGAAGCATGATAGGAGTGCAGGAAGAACTGGAGCTGCTGAAGTGTTAGCATTTCTGCTGACTGCTTGTCTGTCACTTGCCTGTCACACAGCTGAGGCTTTCCTCAAAGGACCCCTGAGTGATGCAGGAACACACTATTTTTATCTTAGGGCAGGAAGATTTCATGGTTAAGGTGCAGAACTTTGGGTAGAAGACTTCTGTCCTCAGTCCTACCTGAGGCCCACTCAGGTACCAACAAGGAATTTGATCCTGACTGCAAAACCTGCCTGAGAAGTTAGGTGGCTGTGTAAAAAGTCGATGCTTATGGTCCCCCCCTGCTATAGTTGCTGTACTGATTATGTATGCATGATAATGTAAAAGACAGTGAAAGCTTCCTTTATGTCTGATCCTGCAGAGACCACCCCAATTCCTACAGCTTGTAAGAGTTTCTGTGCAACAAAATGGTCAGTATTGTGTTGCCCTTCAGACACGAGCGATGCTGAAGTAAGGCCCCTGTCAGTAGCTGTCCCTTCAAGGACCAGCAGGGCGCTTTGTGAAGGACCCTTCCAACAGGGAAGGAGCAGATCTTCGTGCAACTTTGAAGGTTATTTTGAAGCCGTTTATTCAAAGTAAGTGTTTAATAAGCCCAACCCTCTAGATTACGTTGTATTACTCACAGTCATACTTTTTCCCCTTCACTAGGTGGCAGCAGTAAGATGGGGATTTGCGGGACTGTGTTTTTAACACAGTAAGCAGAGCTTTCCAGTGGTGTCCTGCTTGAATGGATTTCTTTAGCAGTCCTTGCACACCCACAGCCCTCAACAACCAACCAACCAGCACTAAGCTGGTCAAAAGCACTGGCAGAGGTGCCTGAAACATCTCTTTTTCCAGGCAGAAACTCGGTACCTACGGGCTCCGGCGCCTGGAAGGCGGCATTACCTGGTCTGCAGCATCCTCTGCTGGCAAAGTCTCTTATTGCAGGCTCGGAGGCAGCCCGGCAGAGCTCCGGGGGGCAGCCCCACTGCCAACAGGTAGAGGTGAGGGGGCTTAGAACAGCGCTGGAGGAGGGACGGTGTCACACTGAAGGAGCCTCGGATGTGCTGCCTGGGCACAGGGCCACAGCGGCCCTGCCTCTTGCAAGGGCGAGAAGGCATCATCCTCCCTCCCATTGAGCTCCAGTGTGATGGGATTCTGGATACAGAATCTGGATATACAGTTCTTGAGTCTCCCAAGTCCCAGTCTTCTTCTCATATTTTATCTTCCCAGTCCCTTGAGACTACTTTAGCACTAGGACAAAGTTTTCTATGGCAGCCAGGAACGCACAGAGGGCCCTTAGCTCTGGCTACACGCTCTACAAACTTGCTGACCAGCTTTCATCACTGCTTTTGCCAAGGGAAGGGGTGCGTGGATGCTGAGCCCTGCACAAAGAGGAGGAAGCACTTATTTTCAGGGACAGTTTGAATACTCTTATGCAGGACTAAATCCCAGAACATAAAACCTGCTAAAGAGAAGGCTGAGTGACAAGGACCCCAGCTGCCCTTTTAGGGTCCAAGCAGAAGCATTGCTTTCCTTCATTGAACTCAAACCAAATGATGAGCACAGTCCCTTTCTAAGCTAGGAGAAAGGTTGAGTGTTCTTCAGAACTCTCTTAAAGTCACCGTGGTGACTCTTCACCTGGCACAGGGAGCTGCATGACACCAGCATGTAAGTGCTTTGTTTGCTAAGAAGAAAGTGTTGATGAAAGCAGTAGGATTCAGAAGGAAGGGGTGGATTGTTCAGAGCCAAATGACTGTGTAGTCATGGTGTGGTTAGTGGGATGCACAGTGTGACCGTAAGTGCATGGTCAGCTTGGTGCAGGCTGGCAAGCATGGCTTTGGTTTCTGTGCTCAAGCATAATGCTGAGTCCCTGTTGTTATCTCTTCAAGTCTTAGAGGCATTAGGGAAAGTGCAGGGGATTCTTCTGCTAACCAAGTTTGTAAGACACTGCCTTCTCCCATCGAGTATGCCTGTTTGGCTCTTCCCCTCTGCAGAACTGACCCATGCATTAGGGAGATCTGGATGTGACAGATGGCCTTGAAGGAAACTGAACTGGAAAAATGTCCCAGTGTGGGCCAGGGCTGATGGTGGATGAAGGATGTGTCCCAGTTCACAGACATGGGGCCAGGCTTTC